TACCTCTCTGATTCCTGGGGCACTTGAGTGCACCACTCCTGAGCTGGTACAATCCTATCGTCTTATAAGTGAGGAAACCAAAGCAAAACCTCACAGGACTCACCACGGCCTGTAAGCAAAGTCCCAATGCCATGAGAGGTAAGGCCATTTGAGTGTTTTTTTCAGACGGTCACTGGTGTCTCAGTGCAGCCAGAATAGCAGGTTGGATGGATTCTTTTAATCACATCATCTACATACCATATATTAAAGAATTTTATTGACTTTTATAACTAGAGTTCTTAAGAATAGAAAGTATTCTTTAGAGAATAAGACTAGCTCATTCTATGTTAATTGTAGTGAAAGTAAAGATAATGGTGGTGCTTGGCAGTAGAAATAATTGTAATTTATTAAGCACTTACTATGTGACAGCATCATGCTGAGCAGTAAATATGTCTTATTTCACATAATAAGTCCTACTGTTCTAATACTCCCTTAAGCTCAATCCCCAGGACTTGCAAAAATTTGGCACAAATAAATCACCTCAATCTCTCTGTAGAATCTGTGTGCTCATCTACTGTGCCCAGAGCAAATCCTTTCTAAATTCTAGATATGCTATGTGTGATGTTAAGTGGTCAGTTAAGAGACAGGCATCTCCAGAAATAAAACATGAAAGGCAGAGGTTAATTGCTGATTCTCTCAATCTGGAGCCAACCCATTTGATAATGACTTACAATTATTATATTTCATATTGCTCAATCATCTCTAGAAGAGGGATTGCAGGGTGTGGTGGGAGAGGTTCCTTCTAGTCCTTTCCATTGAAATGTTTCTGTGTTATCACAAAACAAGAAGTTCTGTAAGGTAAGGGAGTTAGGAATGCTGGCTTCCTGTGGATAGATGCCAGGTGGAGGAAATAAACAGATAGAGTTCCCATGGGATACGGATGCCCTAAAAAATGTTTCCTATCATAGTGCCAAGGCAATGCCAGCTTCTTACAACATCAATTCAGGGGGACAGGAAGGAGGGAGACAGAGTAGTGATTGGAGAGTGGATAAAGTAAAAAGCCACCAATTCCAATTTTGTTAATAGGATATAAATTCCTACAATGAAGAGTTAAGAAGCAGCCCTGATTCTTAAACAAATGAAAGTCTAGTTAACTTTACAATTAAATGGAGCTCAGAGTGCTGTTTCCTACAATTCCACGGGTGGTTGGTAGTTACAGAATGCTGGAGCAGGGCAGATTCTTAGAGATATTCAGTCTGAAGATTACAACTGGCACCCACAGTCATTGTCTTGTTAGGTTTTCTAAGGGATAGCCTAGATGGCATTTTAACATTGTAATTAATTCCCAACATTTAAAAATTGTGAAGACTTCATAAAAAATCCAGATCTCTGGTATCTCTTTTTAAAATGAGAAAATAGGTAAATATTGAACCTACATTTTCATCTAGTAACCATTCAGCCCCTCAGAGTTGGTCCCAGTGTCTCCACAGTTCCCAAGGCTGAGGCCAAATGTCAGCCGGTACTAATTCTGAGGCATGGTACCTGGGTAGCACTTGAGTGTGTGTGCTCTTAGCTGGGAGAATCCTATGATCCTATAGACAAGGAAATCTAGGGAAAAAGCACACATGGCTCACTCTGAAAAGTTACAATGTCATGACAGTAAGACCATTTGCAGATGGTCCCAACTGACCTCTCTTGCCAGTTTCCAAAGGAATCCTATGGTTCAGTTGTGTAAGACTGATTGTTATGCCTGGTCAAGGCTCTGTTCCTTTCCTCTCAAATGTCCTTCCCTGCTATCAAACTCTTGCTCATCCTTTCAGCCCCAGGTTAGTCGTTTCACCTAACTCTTCTCAGGCAGTGAAGTGTCCACACAGCATTTATGTATCCACTTCTGCAATACGCCTTAAAGTCTTCCAGGGGACTTTCAATATTAAAGTCCTGTTTAATGTCACCAGTACCTAGCACTATAAATCTGGGATTCAGAGAAGGGTAAACAAATTGTCCTCAAAGATATGGGTAATTAGGCTGGGTGTTGTGGCTCGTACCTGTAATCCCAGCACTTTGGGAGGCCGAGGCGGACGGATCACTTGAGGCCAGAAATTTGAGACCAGCCTGGCCAACATGGTGAAATCCCATCTCTCTCTCTCTCTCTCTCTCTCTCTCTCTATATATATATATATACACATATATATATATATACACATATATATATACATATATATATATACACACATATATATACATATATACATATATATATATATATATATATGTATATATTTATAACATAGTTGGGGAGAAAACAGGTTAAAAACAGACTGGGAGCCTGTGGCTCACACCTGCAATCCCAGCACTTGGGGAGGCCAAGACAGGTGGATCACTTGAGCCCAGGACTTTAAAACCAGCCTGAGCAACATGGGGAGACCCCATCTCTACAAAAATACAAAAATTAGCTGGGTGTGGCGTGTGCACCTGGAGTCCCAGCTACACAGGAGGCTGAGGTGGGTGGATGGCTTGAGCCCAGGAGGCTGAGGCTATGGCGAGCCTAAATTGTGCCACTGTACTCTAGCCTGGGTGACAGAACTAGACCATGTTTCAAAAATAACCAACAACAAAAACAGACTGGGTGCACAGCAAACACCCAGACTGATGAACCATCAAGTAAGTGATGCTGAAACCTTTATCTCAGTGACAAATGCAATTCCTACCAGGCCAAAGCCTTACTCCAGAAGTAGGGACTGACTGAACAATGTGGCTTATGAGGCATCAAAAGAACCCCAGAGGTCCTAAATATCTTCCCCACCAGCCCTCCAAGGTGCTTAAAGACCACTCTATAAATATATCTGCATTAAGAACTTTTCTGTTAGACTATAACACCCCTTTCCTCCCTCCTTCCTAAAAGTCAGTACATTAGGCAATTCTCAGGGTTTAGCACAGCTTCAGTTAATTTATCAACTATTTTTAAATCTGATGCATTTCTCCTAGAGTTTCTGGGTAAGCTGTGATAGAGTTAAATAAAGGTAAATTTCCAGAAAAGAGGGATGGGCCTGAATGTCTGTGGTACGAGACGGCGGGTAGGCAGTATAGCACAGTGGTTAAGTGTGAGACTTTATGATCTGGGTCCAAATCCAGTTTCACTGCCGACTAGGTAGTGACCTTTGGCTAGTCACTTACCTTCCCTCCATTTCTTCATTTAGACAGAAAATGGTGTTACCAAGAGGACCTGCTTCAATGGGGCATTTGAGAGTTAAATGAGTCAATATATAGGAGGCATTTGAAGAGGTGCCCAACCTATGTGAACCCTATATAATGTGTTAATTTCTGTCAGTATTAGAGGGGATGACATGAGATTTGGCTCTGAAAGGAGCTGCTCTGGCTTTATGACTTGCTGCCTCCTTTCCCAGTTTACTGAGAAACAGGCAAGGTCCCGAGAGGATAAGCAGTACCTCTAAGGCCACCGGCTACTGATGGCAGAGCCAGGGCTTCCTATCCAGGGCTCCTCACACGCGGAACTTCTCGAGGAGGAAGAGGGGAAGGGGTCGTGGGAGGCCAGGAGACTCCTAGAGCCAGCTCTAGCATGTGTCCCTTCTGGGGATAATGGAATCCAGGCCCTTCAGGGCTTTTCCCCAGAGTCGGCTCCACCTCCCCCTCTCGCATTCGCTCGGTGGCCACGCAAAGGCCATCCTCCGACCCCCACCCCCAACACACACACAGCCCCACACCCCCACGCCCGGCACACCCTCTAAGTCTGGCACATCGCGGCAACTCGCTGCCCCGCTGGGAGGACGAGTCAACAGGGGGGTGGACGGCAAAAGTGACACAATCGGGCCGCGGCGCCCTCCGCGCCAGCCTCCCACGCAGCGCAGGGCCGACTTCGGCCCTCAGAGGGGTGAGGACCCGGGGCCCAACCGCCCGGGTCTCCCCCGCCGCCCGCAAGGCTCGGGATCCCGCGCGGTGGGAGGCCTGGGATCGGGCGGGCGCGGTGCACTTTTCAGATTGCGGCCGCCCCAAGGCTGTCCCGCCGGGTCGCAGGGCCGCCGCCGCCGCCACCGTCCCCCAAAGCTAGATGACGGAGTCTTGAAAGACTTTCACCAAATATGGGCCGGGGCTGGAAACGTCCTGCGCCGCGCGCCGCCGGAAACCTCGAGTCCTGGCAACCGCGGTGACTGAGGGCGCGCGCGTGGGGTGGCCGGCAGGGGGCGGCGGCGGCGGCCAGGCAGGCGCGTCCGGATGCCTAGCGTCCCGCGCCCTCCCGCCGTGAGGACCCTGCCCGCTGCCTCCGCAGGGGTGCCGGGGCCCGCCCTCTCCGCGCGTCGGCCACCCAGTTCTTGCCGCCGCCACCAGGATAGGATCCTGGCTTCCTCTGGGAATGGGGGCGGAGAAAAGGTGGAGGAGAGAAATGGGATGGTGCGGGGGGCGTCACCTGAAAGCTGGTCTTTTGCAGACACCGTAAGTTGTTCCGTTCATTAAGGTGGCTATAAAGAGTGGAGTTGTGACATTGGGTGTGCGGGCGAGTACCTTTGAGACACACACACACATCCCTACTACACCCACTCCAGTCGTCCACCGCAGTGGTTCTCAGGGCGTGATCTCCGGACTAGCAGCATCACTACCACCTGGGGACTTGTTAGAAAAGTAATCAGAAACTCTGGGGTGGGACCCAGGAATCATTAACTAGCTCTCCAGGTGATTCTGATGCACGCTAGTCTGAGAACCTTCCTAGGGCTAGGAAACCAGAGTCGCCAGATTTACCGTTATAATTCTCGGTTGCAGCCAGACAGTGAGCCCTTCATTAGGTAACCTAAAATTCCCTGGCAGCAGCGGGTGAGAAACGTCCCCATCGCTCAGCCCGAAGCCAGGAGCTGCAGAAGACAAGTAGCCCCTTTTCCGTGGATTGCAACCCAAGGCAGCCCAAGGAAACAAGGCAGCCCGTTATTTCCTGCCTGGGCACCCGTATGGGGCGGGTGAGGGAGAAACTAGCAAAAGAGTCATACAGAATTAGTACCTGAAGCAACACTTACCCATAAACATTTGCATATTTCGCCTCCTGTCCGTCAACTTGGACTGATCTGCAGCTCCCATCGGAGGCGGTGAGAAGACGACCGGAGGCTGGGGTTTCTGGACGGTCCTTGGGCAGGACTTGAGGAGCCGCTGTTTCTCTTGCCTAATGTCGTCGACTACTAGCAGGCGCACCAGCACATGGTATACGGAGAGGCTGTGCACATAGGTTACTCTGGTGTCTCCCGCTTCCACACCTCCTGGCCCTGTAGCTCCAGCTTCCCACCCCCCTCCCACAACACACCCCCTGCTTTAAATGGGCAGCTGACGGTAAGGTTCTCTAAATTTCTCCTCTGGGGCAAACTCATCCTCAAGATTCCCCAGTTGAAATCCAGAAACAAACCCACACACCCTTGTTAGAAAACTTTAATGTGATTTTAAAGGAATCTCTGGAATGGTTGTGTTTGAACGCAGTGCGGCAGACTGGATCTCTGCCGTCCCCCATCCCCAACCTCCAATTGAGGTATATACGGCCAGTTGGATGATCCACTGTGCTTTGATTTTAAATCATGATAGACAGATTGCATGAAAAACAAGGAATTCCAAAGAATTTCCTGCTCTGGGAAGAGAAGTTAAATCTATATTTAACAACATTGGAAGCTGTCAAGAATGCTTTGTGGTTGGATAACAGAGGCAGAAAAATGTTAAAAACGCAGGCTACTGCTATACCCAAATATGGAAATATTGTTACGTCTGGTGTCTGATTCACCATCTGGAAATACTTACAACCATGAAGTCAAATAGAAAAGACGCCACAACAGAAGCCAGGAACCGTCCTCTCCATTCTCTCTCTACCATCTCCCTCTGTTCACCCCTTACTGTGGCTACACCCCTCCTCCCCCGCCTCACCCCAGGCACTTCATTAAGAAGGAAATGAAAATGAAATGCTAAGGCAGGAAAAGCAATGCTTTGTAAATAATAATTGATGTATTAACCTGTGTTCCTGTTGGGCCCAGACTTTCCTCACTTGATTTGCATGACACCTGACAATCCATTGTCTTGAAAAGTCTCTCACCCCTAACCCTCCAATAGAGCTTCCCACTCCCTCTAGCAAATGCTGCTTTCAGTTATGACAGGGCACTTTTGAATGAATAAAACTGAACTCTTTCCTGCAAAAGTTCTCTTCATTGGAGTGTGTTTTCATCATGATAGCTTCTCATTGTGCTTATCAGAAAAGTCCGCTTGGCACTAAGGGCCCTTTTAAGCAAGACTGCTAAATGAAGAAGTGTGAACAACCCTAAACATTAAAAAGGATAAGTAGTTATCCTAGAGCATATGAGTCTCACATGATAATTTTTATTAAAAGTACAATTTATTAAAATTAAAGATAGTTTTTGAAACCTGTAGGGAAAATTTATCAATCACACTAATGGGATTGGTAATGTTCAAGTGCATTGTCCTGTGGTGGGGTCTTCTCCTGAGTGTGTTGCAGGTAAAACAGGATCTTATAATCTGCTGACATTTTTACTACAGAGTATTACATCCTACATCTCATTGCAATTCATTTAAAATGGGAGGCTTCCAGTGGTCCCTAGGAAAGGAGTTAAAAACCCCACAAAACTTCCAGCTTGAAGGCATCTGCTTTTCCCAGAGATTCATAGGGCATAATGGTACTGGAATCTGGTTTGGCCTTGCGGTCTTTGCAGGTGATGATTTCAGGCCAAAGCACTCCACGGTGGTCCCCTGCACTTCTGGCTGGCTGCTTGGTTAGCACAGCCTCCGGCCCGCGGAGGGAGGTTGGAAGGGCTTACCCTGTCTTCTGCATCCGTAAGGAAGTATAAGTCAGCCTCCCCGAGAACTCCCCGAGTTCGTTTCCTTTCGGACTTCCAACCCAGGCAGTGGGCTGGAACTACAGTGGGAACCTCAAAAAACAAACAACATATCCAAAAGAGGAGGACTGGAGAGGTGGGGGAGACCTCTGCCTGGGAATTTGCCAGATGGTGGAGAAGTCCCCCGCTCCCCCCACTCCCCGCTTTTCATTCATAAATGCCACTGTGGGTATTAATTTGCAATTCACTGAACTTTGCTAATAAACATCATGCCAAAGCTTTGGGACCTGATCCGAAACCGCCTCTGTGAAGTCCACAAATATTCCTGGGTCGGAAACACATTCCTCTTTCTCGTTTACTCTTTCAGCAGATAACTTGTCTCTCACCTTCGCTGTAAACAAGCAAACAGCTCGCTGCCTTCCTGGGTGAGGGCTTCCGTGGCTGCCGGGTCAACTTGCATCAACCAAACAAAACGACTTTTGTTCCTTCCTCTCAGGTCCTCCCACCCACCCAGTCCAGGCAAAGTTCTGAACTGGGCCCTCTCGCCCCTCACGACCCTCCAACCACCATCACCACTATCACGCCCCAAAGAACCCTCCCCAATAGAAGTCGTAATTTAAGGTGGAAAAAACGAACTGTTTTCTTGAAGGATCCGGGACGGACACGCACAGACACACACGGACACACACACACACACACACACAAAGGTGCAATGGAGCCAGGGGAGGCGCTTGGCAGCAGCCCGCGCCAACCAGCATTCCTGAGATGTTTGAGAATTCTGGAACGCGGAGACAGAGCCGACGTCACTGCAACACGCGGCGCCTCCACCGGCCGTATAAAAGGCGGGCTTCGGGGCGCCTGGGCAGACCGCGAGCGACAGCGCCCCCGAGCAGCGCCCGCGCCCTCGGCGCTTTCTCCGCCCGGACTTCGATCGAAAGACTCCCGCCCGCCACCCGGCCCTCGCCTCCCTGCCCACCGGGCCCACCGAGCCGCCACCCAGAGCCCACTACGCCCGGCCTGTCCGCTGCGCACCAGCTTGTTGGCGTCTTTGCCGCTGCGCTCGCCCCGGGCTACTCCTGCGCGCCACAATGAGCTCCCGCATCGCCAAGGCGCTCGCCGTCGCCGTCACCCTTCTCCACTTGACCAGGCTGGTGAGTTGGACTCTTCTTTTGCCACCGCTTCCCCGTCCACTCCCCAGTTTTTCCCTTGGTCCCAGATTGCCCATGGCAGGGAAAGCTAAACTAAAAAGTTCGTGGCCGTTTGCGGGTAGCCGTTTCTTTAAGCACCCCCCCTCCCCCGAAGACGTGTCGGGGACCTCTTGGTGGGCGCAGCCTCCCGGGGTGGCCAGGCTGGACGAGATCTGAGGCTCCCCGTCGGCAGGGTCGGAGACCCTCTTCTCTTCCCGCGGCAGCCGCAGCGCCCCTCCTGCGCACCGCGCTGACTCTCACGCGTTTCTTCTCCCGGTTCCAGGCGCTCTCCACCTGCCCCGCCGCCTGCCACTGCCCCCTGGAGGCGCCCAAGTGCGCGCCGGGAGTCGGGCTGGTCCGGGACGGCTGCGGCTGCTGTAAGGTCTGCGCCAAGCAGCTCAACGAGGACTGCAGCAAAACGCAGCCCTGTGACCACACCAAGGGGCTGGAATGCAACTTCGGCGCCAGCTCCACCGCTCTGAAGGGGATCTGCAGAGGTAAGATGCTTGTGGTTTGGCCCCTTTAAAAAAAAATACTAGTCCCCATAGTCCAGAAGTTTAGTAATTTTGAGACCATGTATGGTGATGCTTTGTTGTTGGTAGCTTGGCAGAAAGGCACATGATTTCAGCAGTCTGGAATGCAATTCAGTGTGTCTGGGCCCAACGAAAGCGCATACGGAAAAGTGATTCCTGACTAACTTATTGTTCTGGTCTGGAGTCTCCGGGGAATTGTAGGGAACTTTACCATAAATTGAATTTAACAGCAGAAAATATGTATGAAGTTCAGGCGGTGGTTTGGAATCTTAACTTTATCCCCTTCTACCTTTCTCTTTTGTTGATGTTTGCAGCTCAGTCAGAGGGCAGACCCTGTGAATATAACTCCAGAATCTACCAGAACGGGGAAAGTTTCCAGCCCAACTGTAAACATCAGTGCACATGTATTGATGGCGCCGTGGGCTGCATTCCTCTGTGTCCTCAAGAACTGTCTCTCCCCAACTTGGGCTGTCCCAATCCCCGGCTGGTCAAAGTTACCGGGCAGTGCTGCGAGGAGTGGGTCTGTGACGAGGATGGTGTCAAGGACCCCATGGACGACCAGGACAGCCTCCTTGGCAAGGAGCTGGGATTTGATGCGTCCGAGGTGGAGTTGACGAGAAACAATGAATTGATTGCAGTTGGAAAAGGCAACTCACTGAAGCGGCTCCCTGGTAAGTGGAGACTGAGCCCTGAGATACTGCACTGAGATGCATTTCTGGTCTGAAGTTTTATAGAAATGAGTACTTGAACCTGTTTGTGTCAGTGTGCCTCTGAGAAGTCTTCCCTCTTGTTTACTTCTCTAGTTTTTGGAATGGAGCCTCGCATCCTATACAACCCTTTACATGGCCAGAAATGTATCGTTCAAACAACTTCATGGTCCCAGTGCTCAAAGACCTGTGGAACTGGTATCTCCACACGAGTTACCAATGACAACCCGGAATGCCGCCTGGTGAAAGAAACCCGGATTTGCGAGGTGCGGCCTTGTGGACAGCCAGTGTACAGCAGCCTGAAAGTAAGTTCCTTCAGGGACAAGTAGTCTGTTCCCTGGCAGGTGGGTGGGATGTGAATCTGTTTTTGAGGAAAGAGAAATATCACCCCTTACTTTCCTTCTCTCCTCTATCTTACAGAAGGGCAAGAAATGTAGCAAGACCAAGAAATCCCCCGAAGCAGTCAGGTTTACTTACGCTGGATGTTCGAGTGTGAAGAAACACCGGCCCAAGTACTGCGGTTCCTGCGTGGACGGCCGATGCTGCACGCCCCAGATGACCAGGACTGTGAAGATGCGGTTCCGCTGTGAAGATGGGGAGACATTTTCCAAGAACGTCATGATGATCCAGTCCTGCAAATGCAACTACAACTGCCCACATGCCAATGAAGCCGTGTTTCCCTTCTACAGGCTGTTCAATGACATTCACAAATTTAGGGACTAAATGCTATTTGGGTTTTCAGTGTGCACCTGGACAAACAAGGGAGAAGAGTGTCAGAATCAGAATCATGGAGATAATGGGTGGGGGCGGTGTGGGTGATGGGACACATTGTAGAAGGGATGCCTTGCTTATTCTTGAGGAGCATTAAGGTATTTCGAAACTGCCAAGGGTGCTGGTGCAGATGGACACTAATGCAGCCACGATTGGAGAATACTTTGCTTCATAGTATTGGAGCACATGTTACTGCTTCATTTTGGAGCTTGTGGTGTTGATGACTTTCTGTTTTCTGTTTGTAAATTATTTGCTAAGCATATTTTCTCTAGGCCTTTTTCCTTTTGGGGTTCTACAGTCGTAAAAGAGATAAGATTAGTTGGACAGTTTAAAGCTTTTATTCGTCCTTTGACAAAAGTAAATGGGAGGGCATTCCATCCCTTCCTGAAGGGGACACTCCATGAGTGTCTGTGAGAGGCAGCTAACTGCACTCTAAACTGCAAACAGAAATCAGGTGTTTCAAAACTGAATGTTTTTATTTATCAAAATGTAGCTTTTGGGGAGGGAGGGGAAATGTAATACTGGAATAATTTGTAAATAATTTTAATTTTATATTCAGTGAAAAGATTTTATTTATGGAATTAACCATTTAATAAAGAAATATTTACCTAATATCTGAGTGTATGCCTTTCAGTATTTTTAGAGATGTTCAAAATGTACTCAAACAGGACATATTGGGATATAGCAGTAAATTAAGCTATTAAAATAAGACAATGATTGCTTATATATCTTCAGTAGAGAAAAGTCTTTGCATATAAAGTAATGCTTAAAAAACATGTATTGAACACAAGACATTGTATGAAGCATGAGAAGGATTCTGAAGCTAAATGTGTGATTTAAGAAAACAGCACTTTATTTTCATTAGAATTTGAAGTCTATGGGTCTCCGTTACTCTGTAAGACAGCTATAGTAATTTAATATTTTAATTACCAGGTTAGTGGGCATGTCACTTTAGTAGAGAAACTCTTTAATAAGAGGGGTAGTCCATAACTCAGGCTGCCCACATCCAGATCCATGGGCAAGACTGAATATGGCTAATGTATTCTAAAGGCTTGCTTGTTTACAACTTTATATTTTCCCAATATTTTTCCAAAAAATTAAGAGAACTACTTAGAAATTTACCCTTGGCTGTTATCAGGAAAAATCTGAGTCTATAGGAATCAGTTTGTTTTCACTAAATGAGCTTGAAGCATGACTTGTGTTAATCCTAATAAGCCAGTGATTAGGTAAACATGCTGTTAAATGCAAAGGAATGCAAGGAATTTCAAGTACTTTTCCAATAGCGTGAGGACCAAGCTACCCCATCCCCCTTTCCTTTTTATAATATACATTATATTGATGGGGGAGGGAGCAGTTAGATAGAGTTGGCTATTCAGAAGGTCAAAGGTCCAGAGCATTCCTAAAAGAAAGGGACCCAAATCATAGGTCTAGGAGAGGTTAAGAAAGCTGTGTCAACATTTGTGAAAATGCTGGTAGCCTGTTTCAGAGGCATCTCCATCTTTAGAAAGTGCTGACAATAAACCTTTTATAGGGAGAAGTTTTCCTTTTATTATGAATGTTGGCTCCTGTTCAAATCCATAGTGAAATATTTCAGTCCGCACTTAAGAGAGTACTTGAATTTTTAGGTAGAAGAGAAAGTGCTTTTAAAAGGAATTGAGGGGGACAGCTCTTGGGATCCTGAAGGGATTTTTCCAAATAGATTAAATAATATCTATACTTTAATGAAGACCCACAGAAAAATACTGCCTAAGCAATGGTTTTAAAGCCTAATGGAATTGAATAAAGGTTAATATAAATGCACTAGTAAAATCTATGGCCAAAAGCCTTCACTCTTCTGATTTTGACTTGCCTGAAATATTACAGCTTGTTCCTTCTGAATAGTCAGTTTTTCTTGCCTGAAGCATTCAAATGTTAAGGTATTTGAGAATTTAAACACCACCTGGCCCAGTCATAGATGCAGTTAAACTTGTTAGTGCAATGTAACATGTGAAACATAATAAAGGTGTGAGGTTTTTGTGGTGCAATCTTGTTGAATAGACATCTAAATCCATAGGCAAGATTTACACATTCCCAAGCATCAACCCTGGAGTGTTGCCCTCCAACACTGGAGCTCAACAAATTGCTTTTTATGCAGAGATCAAGGAGTAATATTTTACAGATCCTTTCAGTGTGCAGGGAGGTAGTATTTGTCCAAATAAGCTCAAAGGTGAAACAGAACCTAGTATGGGAAAACATTGAATCTTTGGGTTATGAATTTCATCCTAGTAAATATAATGAGGGTGATTGAATGTGTCAATTCCATTAAGTGTGTTCAATTAATAAAGATGAATATAGAAGCAAATTATGTCTATTTAGCTATAGACAACACTGAAGAAATTAAAAGTAGTAGAGAATAAAATTATGATATTTAGAACATATAAGTTTTACTTACATCCAGAGTGGAGCTCTGCCCACTTTAAATACTGAGAAAACAAAACCAATTATGCATCTGCATATATGAAATAGAAGTTACATATAGAAATGTTCATTATAATATATATGTACGTTCCCATGCACAGTAAAGACCTTGGGTTGTTCTTGCTTTTCAATCCAAAAGATCCTGGTGGTCTTAAGCTGTGTTTTGGTACAGATTTTAGAACTGAGAGCTAGAGTGATTTCAGAATCTTAGGCATTCCATGAATTTTAAGAAATATTCTATGAGACATTTAGCAGTACAGTAAGTAGTCTCACTAGGACAATTTTTTCATACGAACATATGTGTTGTCTGCTCCACAAAGAAATGCAACTGTGTCAAAATTAGCAAAGCATATTTTAGAGTTATGTTTTCCAACAGAGGGTACAGACTTGGTTTGTTCACAATCTCTTCTTGCAGCCTTCTGGCCCTATTTGAAAGTCAGTTGAGCAATAGCAATAGTTCAGTATGACCACAGTACAGAGCAAAGCTGTGCTCCGGGCAGAATGGCAGGTGATACAGTGGAAAGAATCCCAGGGAATCAGGAGACATGTCTTTTGGCACCAGCTCTGCCAGGAATTCACTAGGTGACTCTAAGCAGGTTTCTGTTTCACTCCCTCATGTTAAAGTAGGAAAATAGCTTTCAGCATTTTTGTCACCCCAAAAACTCTTTCTCATATATCCTCTTTGGTACATTGGCTCTCATACCTTAAAACCTTTGTCTCCTCAAGTAACCAAATGTATGAACTGAAAACTGCTCAAGCCTTTCTGTCATCAAATCCACTTGTTTCCATGAAGCCTTTGAAAATGTGTTGTTGCTAGACCATCTTTACCTTCTAAAGCTCCCTTGGTTACAGGATGCAGCAATCTCTGGATCTCATAGTCTACAGGTCCATACTTTAATCTCACTGTATAGCCCTATCAAGGCCTCATTAAATCCCTGCCTCCTAAACAACTGATGCTTTAAAACAAAGCATATTCTGAAACATGACAATGATGCATTTGTCCTACAAATAGATTAGATATATTCGTGACTTACTTCATTGGTGGTGGTCAATATTCTTCCACATAATCTTAAAAACTGCAATTCAATTAACAAATACTCAGATGCATTTGTTACTGCTTTGCTGTTTCCATATATTCTGAAAGGGTTCTCATCTCCAGAGCAAACCTCTAGATGAGGCCACCATCATCTCTTGCCTGAATTACCAAAATGGCCTCCTCATTTATAGCATATTATATTTTCCAAAGGTGGCTGCAACAGTATCTCCCACCCCATGTGCCCTTCTGCAATGTGACCCTGTTGCTCTCCCATTAATAGGTGGGGTCTATTTCTCCACCCTCTTGGATCTAGGTGAGCTCTTTGACTGCTTTGACCTGTGAATGTGCAGGAAGCAATGCAATGTGGTGCCAGTTCCAAGTGCAGCACTGGCCAGGAGTTCCTGCCTCCTTTCCCTTTGAGATGAGCTTCCATTTAAGAAGTACAACTACTCTGAGATCAGCAGACTGTGAGAAGTTGAAGCCACATGAATAGGCATTACAGAATGAGTTGCCATGTGGAGAAAGTGAAAGTTCCAGAAGCACTTGGGCATTACACCTGTGCATGAAGAAACCATCTTGGAAGTGAATCCTCCAGCCTCAGCTACCCCAGCTGATGTCTTGTGAACCAGAGATGAGCTACCAGTTGAGTCCTTTCCATAGTTCCTGACCCACAAAATAGTGAGCAAACCAATATGGTAATTTTAAAGAACTAAAATTTTTGGTTTTGTTTGTTATATCGTAATAGATAACCAAAGTATCACTGATTTCAGTTTAAAGGCTCCAGTGGTGTCCCACTGCTGTCAAAGTAAAGATTCAGCTGCTTACTTGGCACCCAGCTCCTGGACCCTGCCTACTTCTTACTATTCACCCACATTCACTATACTTCCACTTGACTTTTCTTCTTTGAAAAAGCCAAACAAGTTTTCCTGCAGGGCCTTCACACTAGCTGTACCTCTGCCTCAAATGCTCCCTCCCCTGACCTAGGCTTCTTCTTGGCATGTAGGTCTCAGCATAAATGCTACCTTCTTAGAGACCTTTCCTCACCACTCAAATTATTAATAGTTCCTTACATCAAGAAGTATTTTAGGGGGCAGAGCAAGACGGTGGAATAAAAATCCCCAACAATCATCCCCCATGCAGGAACACTGAATTTAACAATTATCTACCCAAAAAAGAACCTTTACAAGAACCAGAATTCAGGTGAGCACTCTGGGTATCAGTTTCTAACTTCATATCATTGAAAGAGGCACTGAAGAGGGTAGGAAAGACAGTCTTGAATCACTGCCACCACCTCTCTCCATTCCCTGGCAGCAGCCACATGGTGCAGAGAATCTGTGCATTGAGAGAGGGAGAGTGCAGCAAATAGGAGACTGCCTGGAATGCAGTGCTGCCCTATCACAGCAGAGATGCCCACCCATGGAGGGAGCATTCAGACCAGTCCTAGCCAGAGGAGAATCACCCATCCCAACTGTCAGAGCTTGAGTTCTGGCAAGACTTACCACCATGGGCTGAAGTGCTTTGGGCTGTAAATAAACTTAAAAGGCAGTCTCAGCAGCAAGGACTGCAAGTCCTAGGCTGAGCTGGGCTCAGAGCTGGTGGATTTTAAGGGCATGTGACTTACTAAGATACCAGCTAGGGCAGCTAAGGGAGAGCTTGCATCACCCTTTCTCCAAACCCGGGCAGTATGGAGTATGGCTCCAAAAGAGCCACTTGAGGAAAAGAGAGGGAAAAATAAGGAGGGCTTTGTCTTGCTTCTTGGATACTAGCTCAGCCACAGTGGGATAGGGCACACGTCAGAGTTGTGAGGCCCCTATTCCATGTCCTAGCTCATCAACCACATTTCTAGACATACCTTGAGGCAGAAGGGAACCTGCTACCTTCAAGGACCCAGTCTTTGCAGGACCAGTCACCTGCTGACTAAAGAGCCCTTGTGACCTGAATAACCAGCAGTGATACCCAGATAGTCTGCTGAGGGCCTTCGATGAGACTTTGAGATGTGATGGCTTCAGGTGGGACTCAGCACATTTCCAGCTATTGTGGCTATAATGAGAGACTCCTTCTGCTTGACAAAAGCAGATGGAAAAGCAAAGGAGACTTTGTCTTGCATCATAGGTACCAGCT